GCCAGATATTTACTCACCTAACATGCCACAAAACCCAGCATCTCTTCTCACAGACCTTTTTAATGAAAATTTTCTCTGTATTTCTAACAAACAACTAAGGTATCTTTCTTATTTCCTTGCAACGCTTTTTTTCTTTTTTTCTCAGCAGTGAAAAAAAAAATCAATTAATTGGTCTGATGGAGATCCAAGAATGTGGTTTCCCAAGAGGCCAATAAATGGCACAGTTGCTAAACTCTGGTTGAAAAAACAAGATGTTCCTCTCAGTATTTCCTGAAAAGAACCTTAGCACCCTGTGATGATGCTCTAGAGGAGAGGAGGTAAGAAGAGCAGCTGGAAGCAGATGCCCAGAAAAGTCCGAAGTGGAGATGTTCCTGGAGGGAAGCCAGACAGCTCATAAAGCTCGAATGTTCCCGCCCTATCCTCCCAAAGACAACAGTGAGGAACAGCCCAGAGGAAGTGCAAGTTAGAATCTAGCTCTGTGCTTTGTTATTTGAGCACACATAATTCCCATGTTTTCCACTGATGTTTGCTTACGTGGCTTAAGAAAGAGAAATTAAATATTTTACACATAAGTCATGCACCATGAGGACCTGAAAATGAAAATACTGTTGTTTTACATATAAAGTCACAATACAGCTAGAGCAACTATACGTTAGACTTACCAGGGGAGTCTTATTATAGTTCACGCCTATTATTCCAGGGAAAGTGTTAATAGCCCACCTTTCAATTTCAGAACTGAACTGTGTTAGATGGTAAATTGTATGGTCACCTTTCTGTGGCTCATGTGCAAAGGGGTCAAGTGGAATTCTCAACTTTAATTGGAATTATTTTGCTTTGCAAAAGATTTTAATAAGACCAGTTCTGAAGTAAAAGAACTTGAAGATAGATATAATAAGGCCAAACAACAAGAACATCAAAATGAGGAACAAGGCAAAGAATAGGTATTTGAAAGAAAACCTGTCCAAATTTTCATTTTAAAAAGAATGATAAAAATATTCTTTAAAAACGAAGCACAGGTTTCTTTAGCAGCAGGTTCTCCTTTGAACATCTAAATTGTTAATAAGTATTTGTGGAAGGCCTCTTATGTACGATTAGTCATTGGGATAGGTGCCAGGGATAAGAAGATAAAAGACACAGCTCTTTTTTAAAAAGGTACTTATAAAAGAAAAATTCATATATACAGACAATAGTATGGCGATTATACCAGAGGGAAAGCGGGGTGGGGGAGGCGGGAGAGAGTAAAGGGGGGAAAATGGTGATGGAAGGAGACTTGACTTGGGGTGGTAAATACACAATACAATATACAGATGTTTTATAGAACACCTAAAACATATAATTCCATTAACCAGTGTCACCCCAATAAATTCAATGAAAATTTTAAAAATTAAAATAAATAAATAAAAGGCACTTATAATCAGCAAGAAAAGGCATTCACCTAAGCAAAGAAATGACACACAAGTGACAACACAGTGTCATTATTGCTATGATGAAGTGAACACCGGCACCATTGGAAGCCCTGAGATGCGAGTAAAGATGGGGACCAGGAAAGCGTTCACAGATGACCCACAGGAAGATCTGGGGGGAAAAGACAATGATTGAACTGGATCTTAAAAAGTGAGAGGAGATGGCAGGTGAAGACAGGCAGAGAAAAGAGACATTCTAAACAGAGAACCACGTGTGCAAATGCTAAGGGCATAAAAACATTTCCGGGGCATGCAAACCACTCAGAATGACTGGAGCTAGCAGACAGTGACAACAAGTGTGGCTGGAGAAGTATTTAGAGTCCAGAAGGCAAAACTACGCACAACCATGAATGAATGGAACTCTCTCAAGGTATGAGGAGCCAATGAGTAAATACTGAGGCAACAGGGAGAATAGATGTCCGTATCGTAGAGGGCTACTTTGACAGCTATGGGAGGATGAGTTTGAGGATGGCCAGACTGGTAGAAAGATCAGTTAGAAGGCCAGTGGACTAATTTAGATTTTTTTTAAAAAAACTGCTCAGCATTTTAAGAGAATAGTTGCAGTAGACTGTAGAGTAGACAGTCTCAGGAAAGAGGCTCAAGCTGAAGTACAGATTTGGAAATCAAGAGTATTTTATGTGGCAGCTGGACTGTGGGAGACATGCCCTATCAGGAGGAAGGACAGTGACAGAAGGAAACCAGGAGTCAGTTCCACAGGATGTCAGTGTACAGAGATGAGAGAGTAAAGAGAGTAAGCATAAACTACTTTTCCCCCAAGAAGGCTGGTCATAAAGAAAAGGAGAGGAATAGGGCAGTGGATAGCTTTTTGTTTTTGTTATCAAATCACAGTGTGGTCGCCCAAGCTGGTTTCGCTCAGTGGATAGAGCATTGGCCTGCCGACTGAAGGGTCCCGTGTTCGATTCCAGCCCGGGTTGTGGGCTCTATCTCCAGTAGGGGGCTTGCAGGAGGCAACCAATCAACAATTCTCTCTCATCATTAATGTTCCTATCTCTCCCTCTCCTTTCCTCTCTGAAATCAATAAAAAAAATATGTATTTTTTTTAACAATCACGCTGTGGTTTCAACTCTCTTCTGATTGGACACAGACTGGTAACAATGGTCAAGAAAGAAAATAAAACCAGGAGGAGACGGGTAGGTTGGAAGAAAACAGAGGCCAAAGGACCTTATGGGAGACTTTACAGGAAAGTTAATGCACAATCTTTGGAAGCCACACAAGGAGAAGTAGGCAAGTGACAAATGATCTGGGCCCTAGATCCTTTGGGTTTGGGCCAACGAATGCTCTTCAGTGAAGAGAGCTGTAAGGTAAACAGTAATCTCAGGGAAAAAGTGAGGTTTCATTTAAGACAAACTGTAAAATATTTTGAGAAGACAGTACAAATACACAATCACCACTGATACAGAGAACATAATGGAAAGGGCGGTTCAAAGGGTGGACAGCAAAGGACAGAAACCAAGTGTCCAGAACAAGCTGTCTCATCCCATGCCATCGGGACCGACTGCTGCTTTTCCAGTAAATTGGATGCAATTGGAAATGATAAAAAAAAATGATTCATACATACCGTAAACACTTTCTATAACTCAAAACATAAATGTGCACACATGTGCCAACCTTCTGATGTAAGGCCAAGGCCCGTTCCCAGCATATGGATCTGCTGAGAGGAGCTATGCGTCTTCTGTCTCCCATAAACCACATCCGTAATCTACAAGTTTGCTTTCTTCAAAGTGGAGGGAGAAGCTGAACGCAGAGCCCATCTAGGTTTGTATGACTCCCCCATGTCTTTTAACTTTGTCCCACCTAGACCCGGGTGATGGCAAAGCTTACGTAGCTAATCTTTTATCAAGTTTCTCCAAAGCTGAGTTTTCAGAGGAACAAAACTCGGTTTTTTTCTGCACCTGATCACTTTATTGACTCTTCATTTAAACTACATAGTTTATATAAGAACTACAACTAGCTAAAAACAGCTTTGAGGATGGCCGCAACACAAGGGGCCCTCAGAAAGAGGCCAGCTTAGCTGGTGGGGCAGCATTGCCTGGGCACCTGGGGGAGCCTTTGGCTGAAGACCTCTGTGCCGAGGGAGACAGGCTGGGTGGCTGATGGAGAACACAGGATCAGTTAACTCCCTAAGTCAGTGAAGAGGAGGCCAATGAAGAGAGCTTTAACTCGTCAGAAGACAAGACTACGTGCATTTTGAGGGGTAGGCAAGGACAGGGGACGGGGAGTATTATTTATTGACTGGCTTCAGGTTCCCAAATGGAGAGCTGGTATAGACTGTTTTTTCTCCCCCAGGTGCATGCTTTCCCTTTCCTCAATCCCTTTGCTTCCATGGCTTACTCTGGAGAACAGAGACTAGGCTGGAAGGAACCTGGTGGAAGAACTGGAAGAGGCCTGGAGCCGGTCTGCAGTTCCGGAGCCTCTTCTGGACCCCACACTGGTCATGGAATGCCTTTGCTTTTTTTTTGCACTGATGTCTAGGACTTCAGCCTGCTTTCCTCTTTCACCACTTATGTCTATTCTTCATCTGAGTTGTTCTGCCAGTCACTGGGGACCAAAATTCATCTTCAGTCACATTATCTGTCTCTCTCATTCTTTCTTCTGCTCCCCATTGGTTTCCAGAGAGGTTACTCATAGTACCATAGAGAAAGGGGAAAGCAACAAAACTAACAAACTAGAAGTATCTATTCTTTCAAGAAATGATCAAAGTACCAGTGTTAATGGTAATGGGGCTAGGTCTACCCACCCCAAACATCACTCACCTCCTTCCTGCATTTTCCAGTACAGGGCCCTCCTTTCCCGTCCCCATGGAATGGGTGGAATCCAGCACACTTCTGCCAAGTTCCTCAGTGAGGAGTCCCCCGGTTCAATAGGTGTTATAGGTAGTAATGGCCATTAATAGATTAGCCACCATTGACTGAGCAGTTACTGTAGTTAATGCATTAAGGGCCCATGGTTCTCAGGCATCACCTTGTTTAATCTGCACTAAGGTAGTATTGTATTTTACTCTCATCATCCCCATTTCAGAGAAATTATAAACCTCTAGGGATCCAAGGTCACACAGAGGTGAGTAGCAAAGCCAAGATTTGAATCAAGGTTCCCAAGGCTAAGCTCTTAGACCACTCTGCCCCTTCCCAGAATGTCCAGGTTCAAGTGGAATTCATGTAAATTTAGGAAACTTTCCTTAATTCCCTTCACAATATCAATGATTCCCTTCCCCTAACAATTACCCTCATCTATGGTATACACCAAAGGAAAATTAGTTTAGGACATACACCTTGTTCTTCCAAAGTGATGTTGACCTGCTTAAGCAACCTATGTGGAATGGATGATAGAAGACAATATGCCGTCTACCAGGAGATCAAGTCCCACTCAGTACTTTTCACAACCTTCCCCTTGAGCAAACACACCACCTTCTCTAACAAAAGAGGGGAGGGAGTCAGGCAAAGAGAGGCATGCCTCAGGGTGGGAGAGATGGGTAAACCAAACAGAAACTTGTTGGAAAGGTCAGTAATTCAAGCTTACTTTTTTGGTACACTTCTTGACGGTGTTGATTAATTCTTGCATTACCAGATCTACACTCTTCAAGGAAGGCCCTTTCAGCTTCACAATTTGTTTTTTGACTATTGCTTCAAACGCCATGTCTGGAGTAAACAGCCCTGTCCTGAGTGTGAGAAAGAGAGCCGCATGTTAGATTTTTTTTAAATGAGTAATAATATCCAGTACTCATTTGAAAATGTTTTGATTGACAGGCCACTTAAAGAAAGCATGAATACCTAGTTTAAAAGTTACAGAGTGATTTATTCTAGCCACAGTATCATTTGTAATAACTTTAATACTAATATTTCATAATACATTCTGTTCTATAGATGATTAACATTACCTAAAAATAGATCCCAAAGTGTTTATATGGCATATCATCTGGCCTTCTCATTAATTTGTCTCATTTCACAGTCTCACAGCTTTTTAAAGGAATGTTACAATGGAAATGTTCTAAATTGACATTTCTCTTTCTAAAGTACTCCAAAGGCAATCCTCTCTTGCCCTCCATGAAGCAGGAAACGGTCCTCATTTTTGAGCCCTGAGACAGTTGACACTACTGAGAAATTTCGCTATAGTGAGTGCAGTGGGTCCCAGTCTGAGGTGGGAGGGGAACTGGAGGAAAAAGAAAGCAGTTAAGTAGAACTAACCTGGGACCCAGGATGTTGAAATGGTGAGTTTACAAACAATAAAAAAAAAAAAAACACAACAACAACGAAATAGCAAGTGCCTTTTTCATTTGGCTAGAGTCCATTCAAATTGGTATCGGAACAATGCTTTCCTTGTGCTGTGCAGGAGTCCGGGAAAGCAGATGTGTGTGTGTTTCATAGAAAGTGCTTATTCATATTTAAACAAAGAGTCCATGAGGGAACCTGGACCCTGAGCACCGGCCATCCTCAAAGACCGGCAGCTCTTGACTCCCTGTTCCTAAACCCTCGTCCCTTCCTCTTCTCACCTCTCCTGCCTTAACGCCTCTCCCTGCAACACTCAACTCTATGATGTCTCCTTCGGGAAATTGCTTTTAACGCTCCCTTAACCAGCTTTACTCTCCATCCCTCCTAATCATCTACTCTCTGTTCACCTCTATTTCTAACTGTAGCGATCACACCAGATTGGAACTGTAATTCTCCACCTCGGATATGGGATAAAATCCACACTGCTCAGTCTGACATAAAAAATTTCCCCATCTGACCCTACCCTTCCTTTTATTTTCCTCCAGCCTCCCGTGCACCCTATGTTCCCACCACATGGGGCCCTCTGCCTTTGCACAAACACACTCACACGCTCAGTTTAGGTCTCTGCCTTCGTCTTGTGACGGTCGCTTCGCAATCCCCACAATTTGAGCGCGTCCACATCCCGCCCGCACTGCACAGCCCGGGTCATGAGACCACGTCCTACAGCGCCTGCCCCAGTCCTACTGCCAGGGTCCTACTGCCCGCCGGGCCTTCCCCCTCTGAACCCCAACACCTCTCAGCAGGGATCGGGGCACATGCTGAGTCCCCTGGCTACACCGGTAGGAAGTGTCACGATCGCACTGTGTTCGTCCCACAAGGACTGTCTCCCACGCTTGCTCATCGCTGGTTCTCAGCATGTACAGGCGGAGAAGGAGCCATCCCGTCCTCAGTGGGCAAGGGAGGTTTCTGCTATTGGAACATCCAACAGAATCCACTGGGCACAACGCTTTTCACACGTGTACTTTAGGGCCTAGGTAGGCATGCCGTTAGGATGTCTCAGGTACAGGCCAGCGCCATTTTCTAGGCAAACTAACTCCAGAATAATCACAACCACCAGTCTCTTCTGTGGCCGCGCACTGACATTGGAAATCTACATCACGGAGTCGCTGAGCTTTGGCAGTTACAGTCCACAAAAATGTTACTCATAAGGAGTTTTAAAAGCCAAGTGAAGTGCTAAGTAAAAATATTTTGTGACCCCAAATCTGTGACCTGACAGACATGCTGAAACACGACCTTCGCCCGCTAAGGAGCAGGGCCCAGCTCCACCGCAGATGCTCTCAGGAAGGCAGGAGAGGGCCAGCGCGGACAGGGACCTAGCGCGCGGAGGCGAGAGGGACCGGGTTTGGTTATAGATGTTCCCCTTTCTCACTCGGTGAGCGCTATGTACTCACACTATTTGAGACTTGCAGAGACCGTCTCCATTTTAAAACAATAGCTAATTCAAATGTCACAACTCCTTTGGAAAATCACTCATCACATTCACACTCACGGTCAGGCTTTGCCCTCTCAGGTTCTGTTCCCCAAGGAGTCTCCACTTGGCCCTGCGTGGGCAGGGCTTGTGGGCGCAGGGCACGTGGGCCCAGGGCACATCGATGCAGGGCTGTAGGCGCAGAGCACGTGTATGCAGAGCACGTGGGCGCAGGGGACGTGGGCGCAGGGCTGTAGGCGCAGAGCACGTGTATGCAGAGCACGTGGGCGCAGGGCACATGGATGCAGGGCAGTAGGTGCAGAGCACGTGTATGCAGAGCACGTGGGCGCAGGGCACATGGATGCAGGGCAGTAGGTGCAGAGCACGTGTATGCAGAGCACGTGGGCGCAGGGCACACGGATGCAGGGCAGTAGGCGCAGAGCACGTGTATGCAGAGCACGTGGGCGCAGGGCACATGGATGCAGGGCAGTAGGTGCAGAGCACGTGTATGCAGAGCACGTGGGCGCAGGGCACGTGCACGTAGGGCATGTGGGCGCAGAGGCCGTGGATGCTCGGCATGTGGACACACTGCACGTGGATGCACACAGCACGCTCTGTTAAAGCTGAGATACCACTGCCTATAGACAGGGGGCGCTTCCCGCCTATAGGATAATCCACGAAGTGGGCAACCTAAGTTTTATCAGCCTGACTTCAGGACATCTCAGTTTAACATATGCTCCCTTACATTTTGTTTAGCCTTCCGGACATGAACTCAAGCAATGTGTTTTAAATTGTGTTTTTCCCTCTAAGTTCTTTAAAGAAAGTAAATGCACGTTATACAAGGGTAAGTTCGGGCACCAGGGCCTCTCCCAGCCTCCCGTCCTCTGCTCTCCGGTCTATGTTCCTAACTGCAGTCAACGTGTGCGACCCCCGGCTCCGTGGGCTGCATGGCACCACCTCTGCCTGGCACTGGTCCTGGCACTTCAAGCCCTTTCATCCTCCAGCCCCAACACGCTCCAGCCTCTCATTCTCATTGCATTGCTCCCTACCCCATCCACACACACACACACACACACACAGAGAGAGAGAGAGAGAGAGAGAGAGAGAGAGAGACATCACACAGATACAGACACACACACACAGCACCCCTTTGCCAACTGAAATCATTCCTGTCCTCTAAACAGACAAGGTTCGACTCAAAAGTTACCACCTTCATTAATCTTTCCCAATCTTGCTCCACAACTCCAGCCAAAAGCAATCCGCCCTGTCTCCGGGTAAGTAACGATGACTTATGAGCACGTCAGGCCTCCCTCCCTGCGAGGAAGGCTCTGGAGAACAAGGGTCCCGGCTCGAGCTCGCAGGGCTGGGAGTGCAGACGTGTTTCTGTTTTTCTAATTGAAAAAGACCGAGAATGACGATCCCGGGAATTAACCATTGAACCCAAACCAGGATTTCCTACTTCTTCCTCCCACCTCCGTGCTCTGCTTGGCTCAGATGGTGAAAAGGCTACTTTGCTAGCCGTTTATAAACCTTCTTCTTCTTCTAGTAGCCGGAGTGAAGGACAGGGAAAATGGGAATCACTTGCCTGATACCATGTATGTTTTTGATTGCGTAGCTTATTTCTCTGCGCAATTCCTTCTCGTTGAACTCCATCTGCAGATGCAGGATGAGCCACAGTTAGGACACTTAATTCCGTTGACTAATAATACTATTGAATATTAAAGAATGAGAATAGCTTGACTTCACTGTTAATAAGTGGATGCTCATGTCTTCCCTAACTTAAACCCAGATGGTCAAAACATCTGTTTATATAAAGTTCAAGGCAACAGAGAACATGAGGGGTTTCTGGGAGTTTTATTTCTAGTGCAGCTGATTTTAACTCCGTTTCAGATAGGAGTGCCGTGTATCAAAGGTGCCTTCTGGACATAAATCTGGCCACTCATTTGAAATCTATAATTTTTCATTCTCTTGCTAAATGTAGGAAATGTCCTCACAGACAAATACACGAGTAAGGGTGTCACCGGACGTGCAATAGCGGTCCGGCTGTGCTGAGATGGCCATTTTAACCACCGGAGCTCAAGGCCTCTTTGTCAGAGGAAATACATAATATTTTGCCAATCCAACACAGACAGATTGCTGTATGAGAATTTCCCAGAAGGTCTAGGGACTCAACCTGGGATGGATGGGGAAGTACGATCAGAGCAGCATGGAGCTTAGACCTGGAAGGGCATCCAGAGAGCATGTGGTTCCGCCTGACTCCTGAGATCTGGCCTCTCCAGCCTCACTGTCTGTCCATTTCCCCTGCACTTGGTGCCACACAACAATGAATTGCTTTGTTCCCTCCCCACACCCCATGGCTGCACAGCTCAGCCTTCACCAGGCCTCCCTTTCTGTCTGGAAAACTCTTCCCCTCCCTCACCTCCTCCTGCTTAACTAGCTGCTCATCCTTCCAAACTCCGCTGAAGGCCAGGCTCCTGAGGCTCTGGGCAGGGATTCCTGTCTGTGGGCTGTGTTTCCATAGCACCCTGTGCTGAAGTTTACCACTGTCCTTAGCACATTTTAATGAAACGCTCTGTTTACCCATCTGCCTCCCACACCAAGACATAAGCACCCGCCTCTGTACGAGGGGCAAGTAGCCTAGTCCCTGAACCACTTAGCTGCCTCCCGAGTGCCTTGCCCGTAACAGGATTCATGCTTACACACAAGCTCGGCTTTGCCTCTGTTTTCCTCATCTCATGGGCAGTAACCTGCGCAGCTGTGCAAGCCGAAACCTCGGGAGTCACCTTGAATGTTCTCTTTCTTGCATCCCCCAGATTCAGTCCGAGCCCTGTGGACCCTACGTCCCAAGTCACAAATCCATCCTAACTGGGCACTTTCTTCCTCTGAATTCATTTCATATGCCCTTCTCTTGGTCAGCCCCATCTGCTCTTTACCTGCTGCAGATGCCTGCTTTAGGGCCTTGTCCTGGGCTGCCTATCTTGAACGACCCTCTCCCCTCCTCCCCATCTTCACAGCTGACCTCTTCACACCATTGTGTTCATGTTTTCAATGTCCCCTACTCAGAGACACCTTGCCTGAATGTGCTATCAAAAGTGGCTCCCCCACCCTCTTTCTTTCTCTCTCTTACATTATCATACTTGAGATCTCTTTAACTTTGTCTATTTCCCCCACCAGACAGTGTCTCTGTCCCAATCACTGGCACCTAGAATAGGTGCTCAAGAAATATGTTTAAATTAATTAGACAATAAATCGACATCATAGGGACTCAATTAGTATATGTTGAAATAATTTGAAATCTCATTGAATAAAATTGGGGCCATCAGTAAGAAATTATTTCTCTCCTAAATTTCATTACCTAATTATGAAGGCTTTCGTTCCAAGAACTACCTTAGTCCCATACCACCCCCGTAACATTTTATGAAGTTATGCAGAACAGAATATGAAAATGAAGTGAAACCAACGGGGGAAAGCAACGTTTGGTACAAACCTTTACTATCTCAAAAGGAAAGCGTTCATGGAAAATGCGATTGATTTTCGCACCTCCTGAGAGCTCCAGGGTATCTACTTGATCCCCTGAGCCTTCAATTCTCTTCTCAAAGTCCACGGCAAATTGCTGAACCATCCTGCAATTGTGAGAGAGAAGTTAATTCCAGTTGAAGTAACCAGGCTCTGCATTTCTCATTTCAATTTACTGTGGTTATTGCCTAGAAACCTTTTCCTGGTGTTCTTAGTGGCACCTACTGGCAGAGTTAGCATTGCACTTTGCACTCAAAATGTAATGATCTGAAATACACGTTTTTTCAATTTATTTTAGACATTTAATTAAAATGTATTCTAAATATCTATGCCATTCAATGCATTCTGTCCATTTCATTGCAGTCATAGAATGCTATTTAAAAATACTTGAATTCAAGATAAGCAATAAATCTTTACAGAGAACAAACAAACCACAGCTCCTACAACATCACACCGGGTGTTCCAATGGCTCTAGCTGAGTCCCCTTCCCAAGCAACTCTCTTCCCCGCCCCCAGCATCAGAGAAAATGATCATGTGTATTGGTAATGACTGGATTTAGAAACTCTAATTTTATCATGCTGGAACTACTTTCAAATTCAAAATCTAATAGGAAAGAAATCCAAACCATCTAATACTTGCAGCATCTTTTATCAAAATCATGGATAAATGAAAAGTCACTGCAAATTATTAAGCCAGGAAATCTAGAATATAATTTGATGTAGCTATAGCTATATCCACGCATATGCTAATGCTAATCGAATTCTTTAAACACCTAGAAGGGTATAAATATATAATACGTGCTGAAACAGTGGGAAAGTTTAGAAAATGTGTGTCCTGCCCTTCTTTCCCTGTCCTGCCACTGCAGCCAGCATACGAAACACCTAAGTCCACACTATCCTCACCGGACAGACTCCTCCCTTACTTCAGAGTCTCATTCACATTCCCTTTCTCCGTGAACTCACACCTTTGCTCCATGTAACTACTTCTGCTTCCTCATCTAGGCTCCATTAATATTTTATACTTACAAGAGATATCACATTTATCAGATTAATTTCCTACATGTCTGTTTCATCTGCTCTACTGTGGCCTCTTCTTGAGGCCAAAAATCTTATCCACTGTTAAATCCCCAGGTCCAGATGCCAAGCAGAATATACAGAGATGAGAGGAAGGAAGACAGGCAGAAAGGGAGGAATGAAAGGAAAAAGGGAGAGAGGGTAGGGAGAGAAGGGAAGGAACTGAATCACTCATCTACCAGGGAAAAATCTAACTGTGGAAAAGTCTGTAATCTGAATCCAATGAAGTCACAGAGGCAAGACCCAGTCTTCACAAGGACAATAGTTTTGGTTGGATATTAAGATGATGACCTAGCCTGGCCAGCGTGGCTCAGTGGTTGAGGTTCAATCTATGAACCAGGAGGTCATGGTTCAATTCCCAGAAAGGGCACATGCTTGGATTGCAGGCTCAACCCCTAATAGGGGGCATATAGGAAGACAGCCAATCAATGATTCTTTCTCATAATTGATGTTTCTCTCTCTCCCTCTCCCTTCCTCTCTGGAATTAATAAAAACATCTATATATATAAAAGCCTAATATGCTAAGTGTCCAACTGCTAGACCAGTCGCTATGACGCACACTGACCACCAGAGGGCAGATGCTCCAACTGGTAGGTTAGCTTGCTGCTGGGGTCTGGCCGATGGAGACTGGGCAAGATGGGCTGGACACACCCTGGAGCCCTCCTGTGGTCCCTCCCCAAGCCAGCCAACCTCCCCAGCCTCTACAATATTTCTTATAATTAATTTCCTTTCAATGTACATGAATTCGTCCACCAGGCCTCTAGTTTTTAAATAAAAGATGATGACCTAGGACCTACACAGAAATAGCTTTCATTTCTCTGTAACTTGAAGAGTTTTTATAGGTGCTTAACCAAAGCCAAGAATAAAAAGAAAAAAATGAACTAGGAAAGAGCTGAATCCAAGAAAAAATTTCCTCTGTATGATCTCATAATTTTTAAGTGGATAAGATGAGCACATAAAATGCTACCTAAATAATTTGAGCATTTAGAAATCCCCCCACAAAGAAAGGAATTATATTAAGCATTTTAAACCAAATTGAGGACATTTTGATTGCAAGACCGCAGAGGGAGAAAGGGGCCAATAAGAGGTGGCGAGCATCACCCTGGCCCATATGGCTCAGTTGGTTGGGCATTGTCTCGTGCACCAAAAAGTTGCTGGTTTGATTCCTGGTCATGGCACATGCCTGAGTAGGAGGCAGCCAATCAATGTTTCACTCTCCCATCAATGTTTCTCTTTCCCTTTCCCTTCCCTCTTCCTTCTTCTCTCTAAAAATCTTTAGAAGGAAAAAAAGAGAGAGAGAGAGATGGCGAGCATTGTCTTTGGAAATGGACTTCATATGTCCTGGAATATAAGGTGGATGGGGCAGTGGGGGGGGGGGGGGGGGGGGGGGGGGGGGGGTATCTTCTGGTTGAGAGGGCCCTGAGGCAAGTTACAGAACAGGGATAAAAGGACAGATGAGGCTGGAAGGGACCCGGAGAGGGAGTCAGGGTAACACACACAAGGAGCTGGTCATTCTCTAACAACACCGCCATCCTATCCCAGGCCCCACAGGGATAAATCTAATAACCAAGGATAAGATGGGAAGATCGTGAAGGAATAAAAAGATACTTGGCAGCTTTCATGTTTGCATATTCAAAGGGTTAATTAAAATCATTAAGGACAAGGATAAAGAAATTTCAATGTGTATGTACTTTTCTATTGAATCCTTGGTTCTCATTCCACTGGGAAACATATACACAGATCACATGAAATGATTGGGGAAAAAAAGTACAAGTGACACCGAGGGAAGGTGGACAATCCAGGTGACACTTTCAACAGAAGCTCTGCCCACTTCTAATTCTAAGGGCAAAAACACCCCTGCTGAGCTATCATATCGGTACTACCTATTTACTGAATGCAATTATAAAAGCACCATAAAATTGGGCATGGGGATGAACAACTGGTTAAATTTGTAAGAACAATTATTCTTCAAGAAAATGTAAAGATTCAAGGCTCGCTGTATAATCTATACAAAGCCTCATGTACTTGACTTGCTGCTTCTGTTACGCCGAGAAAACAGCATGACGGATAACAGACTGAGGCAAAAGCCAAGGGGGGAGACGGTACGGCGGGACAAGGGAGGGAGAGGGGCTCACTGCAGCAGGGCTTTGGTCTTCCTGGTGGGGTCCTCGGGCTTGAAGTTCTTGTAGGCGTCGACTTCGTGTTCTATGGACAGCATCTGGGCCTGCAGTTTGTTCCTGAAGTTTGGCAGGGTGTCTCGAATGTGGTTGGTGAGTTGCTAAATAAAACAAAACAAAATCTCACACACGCATACGACAGGTTGAAGATTAGCTCGTGAGGTTGAAGATTAGCTCGGGAGACAAAAACTTGGCCTTCACTGTTTTTCTTTTTTTAAATATATTTTTAATTGTTGATAGTATTACAGATATCTCTCATTCCCCCCCTCTCTTTACTCCCCCTCCTCCCAGCCTCTACATTGTTGATAGTATTACAGATATCTCTCATTCCCCCCCCTTTACTCCCCCTCCTCCAGCCCCCCAGGTCTTTACTACCCTATTGCCCGTGTCTATGGGCTATGCATATAAGTATGTAAGTTTTTTGGTTTATCTCTTCTCGTTCCCCCAACCCCACATTGAGGCATGTCAGTCTGTTCCATGCCTCCATGCTTTGCTCCACTGTTTTTCTAATTGCTCAACACTGGAGGAATAATACACACAGTTGAGACTGAATGTAGAGACAGGTAGTCAGAAGAAGCTCAGACCCTCTCCTCCACTGCTGGAGGCGATGCTCGAAATGTCTCAGGGTTACTCGCAGGGGCCATCTGGTGTAGCCTGTTCAAATGCAGCTGATGTTACCAATGAGGATGCCTAGCAACACCCGGCAGGGATCGATGATCAGATCACTTACCTTGTCCAAAGAAACCTTAAGTTACAATGTGGTGGAAATGAAGGAGTGGAGAGCTACGTGGGGTGCCTGACGTTCTCAGGAGACACGGCTCCCCACCCTGGTGGAGCTCGGAGGTACCTGTCGGCTGTGAACCTCCTCTCCATTCTGCAGCCCAAACAGGTGCTTCCTCGTGCCTCTACCTCTAGGCCCCAGCCTAACCGTGCTGGGTCCCTGGCTTCTGCCTTCAACAGGTTACATACAAAAATGTGTGCTAAAATGTATACCCCTGGTCCACTGTTCCTCAATAAGTATGTCTTTCTGCTTTAAGCGCTGTTCTTTCAATAATATTAAGGTGGATGATTCTATTCTAGAGAATAGTAACAATGTGGCTCTAAATATTTATATTCATTTTTAAAATTCCTATCATTTAAGCTGCATGTCTTATGTTAAGAAAAAATGAATATGAAAATAAGAAATATGAATTCCAAAAGTCACTTACATATTTCCTTAATTGTTCTTGTTGCTTGAAAGCACATTAGTTTTTACCTGATTAAGGACCTTCTGTAAGTGCGGGGTCCCCATCCGATCGGCAATATGTCTGTAAGCCGGGTGTGAGAGAAAAAATTTCCTCTCCGCCAGCATGGCGGCCTTGATGTCCTTCTTCCCATCGATGTCCTTCTGGCTTCTGTTCACCACCCCCACGTAACCTGAAACAGAACACACACCTATGGTGTTTGGGGCACTCTTTGTTGTTTATTTTGGGGAGATTCCAAGGCTCTCAAAGAGGCTGAATAAAAAAAGGCAAAATTATTAAGGCCCGAGGAATGGGTCCCTTTTCAAAACTCAACTTGAGACATCAGTATTTAACGAAGGCTGGTTGATTTGGCTAATGGCAATATTTTAGCATTAACACAATAATGTCCTTTACCCTTAAAAGCTCTGTGCATTTTAATAAAGTAGGTTTCTGCTCAGCCGGTGTGTATCAGTGGTTGAGCATTCCATGAACCAAGAGGTCCCAGGTTCGATTCCCAGTCAAAGCACATGCCTGGGTTGTGGGCTCGATCCCCATTAGGGGGTGTGCAGGAGGCAGCCGATCAATGATTCTCTTTTATCAATGTTTCTATCTCTCACTCTTCCTTCCTCTCTAAAATCAATTTTTTTAAAAACTTTTTTTAAAAAAATAGAGTATGTTTCTTAGCAGTTTTGTCATATAGCAGGTAAGTCAGACTTAGAAGAGGACAGTATATATTTATGCAGTCTTTGAATACTTATACCCTTCCTTCCAAACCACACCCCCCTTTTTCTGTTTTCTTGTTCCTATTAAGGAATACTTTCCCCCGTGGATTTTTCATGTGTCTATTCCATAAAAAGTGTAGCTAATCATAAACCCATTCCTCACACCTGAGGCAGCATTAAAACCAGGCCTCCCACTGGCCTGCCCATCGTTTCTCCACCACAACATCAAAGGAATCCCTGGGAGGCACACAGTACATTACCCCTGCGAAGAGGCAGCAGCTTATTCTCTAGAATGTCCCGGGCATCCGTTCCCTCATCCATAAGGTCCAGTTTGGTGATGACTCCAATGGTTCTCAGACCTGCAGTACCAAACAAACCCAACATTGCACAGTCTGCAGGAAATGAACAAATTGTAGAGACATATTTCTCCCCATGCTAAGCATAAAGCACTCATATGCCTGGTCCTTTTCCTGCTCCTCTCTCTAATCTACTGCTACCCCAGGCCAGTCTGGGGGACTCCAATGAGATGAGGAGGAGAGTTGTGAAACCACCCATCCATGAGATAACTTTCTGTTCAACAGAGAAAAAAATAAACAGTGTATCACCAAATACTTCTAAATTCATGAGTTTATTTTTATATCTCGCATACATGGCAATTATACATTTAAATTTTCCTCCCAGGTTCCTCACATAACATGCATGCTTAAATTTTTTTTATGTATGACATTATTTAAAAACAGAATGGGCCAATGATGAGAGTGCCATGGCAATTATACATTTAAATTTTCCTCCCAGGTTCCGCACATAACATGCATGCTTAAATTTTTTTATGAATGACATTATTTAAAAACATAATGGGCCAATGATGAGATTGTACTAAAAATCAAGGCTTATTATTGATCCAGTTCTGGAGCTGGGTCCAGTACAGCATTAAGCTAGTTACAGCCCATCAGTCCATTGTGTGTGGGGTCCACACCGTCTGGGCCATGTGAGCAAATGCAGAGTGTGAGAGCTCCACAAGCCAGGAGCACGAACCAAGAGCAAGAGAGAGAGAGCTCCTTTGTTTAGAAGATTATGTATCTCAAATTTTCCCATGCTTGCAGTGGCCACCCCTACTCTGGCCAATGACCTGCTCCCAGGTGTGACTGACAGACAAGTACCTTCCCTAAAGTCACTCAGACTTTACTGGGCATGTGTCTATTTGGCCTTCCCTTTGCTTCATTCCAGTTATTCATAACTGGGTTCATGACAACAGAATCCATAGAATATACCTAATCACTTTGAAGGTATTAAGAGATTTCAACTTCCGAAGGTGAGGCTGAGGGTGCATTAGTGATAAACATACAGAAGATTATGCAAACAGAGAATCAACTATCAAATCTCAAAGACACCATCATGGAAATGTAATCATTTACCACTTGGGTTAGCTGTGAATAACATTTCAGAATCATACATATTCATTAGTGAAATGTGAAGGTTAAGTGTATGCGTGTGTGTAAGTATATGTGGGCATGGGAGAGGGATATAGAACAGCTGAATCTTCTCTGCAGCAGAAAGTTAAAAAAGAATATCTAAAATTTTTTTTAAATCCAGAAGTAGTAGTATAAAAAGATCACATAAAAGTATGGAGGTGAATGCAAAAAGAAAAAGCTAAAATGGTTGAAAGTGGAAGCCTCTGGAAATAAGTAATCAAGAGATGGGAGGGATGGGGAAGGGACTGATACTTTGATTCCAAGCCTTTGGGACTGATATTTTAAAGCGACATACATTTAGAACATTAGTAAAAATAAAAGTTGAATTTTAAAAGCATTTTCTTTACTGCTCCCTTATTTATAAGAAGGCAGAGGAGTCTATGCTTGGTGGTGTGCCCAAGGAGATCCCTGGCTTTTTCATGTTTAGATGTACAAATAGGCAGCTTAAAATCACCAATGAAGTCCTGCTACCAGACTGCAGACAGACCTCAAAGCCATGGCCAGAGAGCTTCCAAGGCAGCATGTTTTGCAAACACTTCACTGGAAATCTGAAGACTTAGATGAAAATAATAATAGAGACCAATTATTGAGCCCTGATTATGAGCCCGCCTCATGTAGGGCTTGAAATGACTCTATGCAGTAGGTACTCTTATTTCCTCAATTACACAGATGAGGAAAGGGGGACTTGGAGAGGAAGTATACGCTGTGTAAAAGCTCACAGCCTGTAGGGCGTGAAACCCAGGCAACCTACTTCCATTTTTAATCACTATATTTTTCTGCCTTCCAATTCTTCGCTAGATTCTACAAGTGATTATCTGTGTTCTTTGGCAAGTTCATTAGATGGCTCTTTTGAGCCCAGAATTCTGGGATGGAGAACAACTCCCAGAATTAGAAGAAATTAGATAAAGTAATAAGTAAACTAAAGAGTAATTTAATAAAATTCTTGCCCTCCAACTAAAAGGAAAATATAAATAAGTTAAGAGCTAATAAGGAATGTGTGATAGTGTTTCAATTATGTTTCTCTTCAGGAAAGAATAGCCACAATGATGAGCGCTGATGAGTTCTAATGAAGACCTTGAAAAGACCCAACGCACATCAAAGGTCTGATTCTTCATTGGCCTAGAGGCCAAGAGCACTGACCCAAGCACTGCCTCTTATTAGCTCCAAGACATTAGTTTCCTCATCAGGTGCAACCACATCAAGAGCATAGCCATTCGTCACAGCTTACATTTGATGCCGGAATAATTATTCTTTCTTTTTTCATTAAATTTTAGAGAGAAAGGAAGGGAGAGAGAGAGAGAGAAAAAAAAACTGATGTGAGAGTCACCCACTACTGGTAATCGAGCCCACAACCTGGAATTGAACTGGCAACCTTTCAGTGCACTGGACAATGCCCAACTAACTGAGCCACACAGCCAGGGCTGGAATAATTTTTAACAGCATCCCCTTTAACTCTTAAAGGACCTCCTGTTTGAAGAATAAATTATAGCACAGCCAGCGTGGCTCAGTGATTGAGCGTCAACCTATGAACCAAGAGGTCATGGTTCAATTTCCAGTCAGGGCTTGATCCCCAGTAGGAGTCATGCAGGAGGCAGCCAATCAATAATTCTCTCTCACCATTGATGAGACCTTTGATGTTTCTATCTCTCTCTCCCTCTCCCTTCCTCTCTGAAATAAATATTTTTAAAATATTTATAAATATTTGTAAATATTTATTTGAATATTTATTTGAAATATATATTTTTTAAAAAGAATAAGTCATATGTTCACTCTGACTCATCAATAAAATGACAAACCAGCAAGTGAGGAACTTGGAAGTTGCCACTGTGTCCACACAATAAGTCAAAAGCAGAACAGACTGAAAAATTAACAAATCCTTCTTAGATTCATCAGACAAATGGAGTCATAAAGCATCGCCCCCCAAATTTGGAGAGACAGACAGATGTACTAATATACAGACATTTCACAACCCAGAAGCAGAAAACTCTGAGGGAACCCGGGCGCAGGTAGGAACACCTGTGATTGATGAATTGCTGAATGTTCAGTGTGGAGAATCTCAGAGTAGAAAACTGCAGGGGGACCCAGTCATAATAGGTACCAATACTTTTGTTAGTTTTGCCTCCAGGAGCTCAACCAAATCCTCACAGTGATTATCTGAGAAAAATCCCCTCGTGCTTCCGGCACTGGGAGAAGACAACCTGATTTTAAAAATGGGTGAAAGATTGGAAAGACACCTATCCAAAGAAGATATACAGATGGCAGGTATGTATCTGAAAAGGTGCTCTAGACCACATGTCATCAGGGAAATGCAAATGAAAACCACAGTGAAATATTACTACGCACCTACTAGAGTGGCCAAAATCCATAACACTGACAACACCAAATGCTGGTGAGAAAGTGGGAACACAGGAACTCTCATTCGTTGCTGATGGGAATGCAAAATGGAGCAGCCACTTTGGAATACGGTTTGGCAGTTTCTTACAAAACTAAACATAGTCTTACCATGGGGCCCAGTAATCACACTCTTTAGTATTTACCTGAAGGACCTGAAAACATGCCCACAAAAAACTTGTATGCAGATGTTTACAGCAGCTTACTTATAATTTCCAAAACTTGGAAGCAACCAAGACGTTCTCCAGTGGGTGAATGGATAAATTAACTGTGGCACATCCAGACAATGGAATATTAGTCAATGCTAAAAAGAAAGGAGCTGTCAGGCTATGAGAAGACATAGAGGAACCTTAAATGCCTGTTATTACTAAGTGAAAGAAGCCATCTGAAAAGACTATATAGTATAGGAGTCCAACTACATGACATTCTGAGAAAGGCAAAACTATGGAGGCAATAAAAAGATTTGTGGTTGCCAGGGGGAGGGGAGGCAGGAGTGGAAAGTAGAGCACAGAGGGTTTTTAGGGCAGTGAAACTATTCCAAACGAGATTACAATAGATACATGTCTTTATACATCTGTTAAAACCCATTGAACGTACAACACCAAAAGTGACCCCTAATGGAAACTATGGACTCTGAGTGATAATGATGTGTCAGTGTAGGTCCATTTGCACCCCTCCAGTGGGGGATGTTAATAGTAAGGGAGGCTGTTCATGTGTGGGGACAGGGTGTAGATAGGAACTCTCTGTACCTTCCACTGGGTTATTCTGTGAACCTAAAATGGCTCTAAAAAATAGTCTATTCATTAAAGACAATTAAATACCAACATATGTAAAGTACTTTGCGCATAAAAACCACTCAGTACGTGAAAGTTGTGATCTCACCAACTTTGTTTCCCATCACTGCTCTCACTCTGCTCCAATCCTGAGCTCACAATATTACACAACCAGATGCAGTTCTCCAGGTAACCATGCATTTTTGCCTCCGCACTTCCTAACACCATCCCCCTCACCTCCACATAGCCTTCCCTTCTCTTCTTTTCTTGGTCAACGCCTACCATCTTCAAAATCCTTTTCAGGCCTGTCCTGCAGGTCCGTAATCAGACCCCCACAAGTGTACGTGTGGAGTCATTCCTCCGTGCCCCCAGAGCTCTCTGTGTACACAAACATCAGAGTTCTTAGGAATCTGCTTATTTGTCTATCTCACTCAATAAGCATCTCAGGATCTCTTCAAGAATAAAATAATATTGAACCTGCATATTCTAAGCAATTCATATAGATGCCAAACAGAGTGGGAACTCAACAAATGTTTATTATTAAATAAATAAATGAACGAAAAAACAAGCCTATTTATTTTTCTTAGGTTCAGATAAGAATTGAAATACAAATTTCAGAAAGGAAAGAGACCATTCTACCATGTTACCTGTGTTTGTGGTCAGCACAGTGGTTTTCCTATAAGAACACTGCCATTTCTTCCATTGATGAATGCAACTAAATTA